TGCCTGTGCCTCGTGGCCTAGGTGGGGGCAGGGGATTCTGGGACCAACGTGGAGGTGTGGGGAGGGCGGGGGCTAGGTCATGTGGGTGGGCCTTTTAAAGTCAAAGGCCATGTGATGGGGAACAAGGGATTCTGGGATCAACATGGCAACGTGGGGGCGGGCCTTCTGGTGTCATAGGCCATGTGACAGCTGGGACTTCTGGTTCCAGGGTCAGAACCTGTCCCCCTCCCCCCATGGAGTACTTCCGGGGAAAGGGAGCGGGGCTTCTGGTGGCAAAGATCACGGGTTGTAGGGGAGGGGGAGTGCCACGGGGGGCCTGGTGGGACTTCCGGCTCCAAGACAGTGACCAGGGGGGCCGGGCACCTGTCAAGGGGCAGGGCTTATCAGTTTGACATGAGGCGTATCCTATATACTACTTAAGTATTTGCTAAAGTTGTCTGGAGAGGCCTGGGCAGATTGAGAAAGCAACATGAAGCTGCTCCAAAGAAGAGAGAAGATAGTCTTCAAACATCTGAAAGGCTGCAATAAAGAGAAGTGAAAACACTTTTTTTTTATCTTTGTTGAAGAGGGCAGGATGCAAAGCAGTGGCTTCAAGATGTAGGCCTAGATTAGATATCAAGAAAAACTTCTTGATATAACAGTGAAATAGACGGCTCAGGGAAGCTGTGGAATCTCTTTCACTGAAGGCTTTCAAGAAGAGGTGTGATAAACTGTCAGGGATGATTTAAGTGTAGCAGGTTGGACCAGATGACCCTTGAGGTTCATTCCAACACTATGATTCTATGAAGTCTATCTATAAAATAAGTCTACCATCATGATAGTTGCTTTAGCAACCCTAGTGACATGGCAGCAGTATGGGTCAGTGCCTTTGCTAAGATGAAAGTGGAGTCAGAGAACAAGCTGTGTCTGAGCAAGGCACTCTGTTTGGAGACACTGAGCACATCTATATGTGCAATTAATTTGAAGCAATTGTGCCAGAGTTTATTGCTCTTGGGTGTGCCATTTGAATATGTGCCTGGGACTGTAGCATGTTGAGTCAGGGTGGAGCAGCCCCCGCTGGCAGGGAGCCCTGGGCAGGTCACCCTGCCAGCCCAGGGCTGCTCCAACCTAGCTCTATGTGGTATAGATGGGCTGGATGGGGCACGAGGGTGCTCCAGTACAGGGCAGCAAGCAGGCAGCCCCCTCAACAAAGCACCCTTGCGTCCCTATCCCTAATAGGGTAGTAGAGGAAGAGATTTACTGCCAAGCTAATTAGGCATCTGGCAGTACAGGTCTCGTGTAGACATGCCCAGTGTCTGCTGCGACTGCTTGGTTTCTCATTGCTCTAAGTGCTGAGAGGAGGCTCATGTGGATATGGCAGCTTATTCTGCCCAGCACTCCAGAGGAAGTAAACCCTTGCCAAGAGGCTGAAGTCCTAGGGAAACAATATGATAATTTGTCCTTGTTTTCCCCCTCTTTACATGATGCTACAGCCCCATATAAGCCCAAGGGCAACTCTACAGAGTTTGGACTTTGTGCCAGTCTATCTTCAGCCAAAGAACTTCTGCCTTTACCCAAGTACCTACATTTCCTAAAGGGGCAGTTAGGCCCAGATTTGCTTTATGAATCCAACCATGAGTCCTCCTCCGCCTCCTTTCTCTTGCATCTACTGCTGCAGAAGCACACTTTCTCAAGATCAGCCCCTTTTTGTTACACTTCAGAGCCACAGACTCATCCTGCCCCCTACTCAGAACTAATTAGTGTCCTGTGGAGTACCTTGCCCCCCTGCAGCCTCCTCCCTCCAACCTGGGGGACATCCGCTAAGATCAGCAGAGGCACTGACCCATACCTATGCCTTAAGGCATTGGTGATGCGTAGGGGGTGCATGTGCACCCTCTAAGAAAAGTGTTGCCAATGGTGCCTGCGGGTGGCTGACGCTCGCCACCCCCTCACTCGTCGTCTGTGGGCAGTTGCCAGTTGGCACTCACCATGCTGCCCCCCCGCCACCTGCGGGAACTCCCTGCTTGCTGCGCTGCCTGCAGGTGGTCGCTGTGCCCCACAGGCTTCGGGGGCACGCATCCTCATGGGTGACTGGTACCTCCTGAGTCAGCTCCCCGCAGCGGCCAGGAGGCCGGCAGTGCCAGGGCACTTCTCCTGGCGCCCCCCCACCCCGGCCCGTGCCCACAGGGCTGGCACTGGTCCCCCCCCCTGCACATCGCCTAAGCGGGGAGCGCGGGCTGCCAGGGGGGGCACGAGCACCCCCTACACATCCTTCATGCCTTAAGGTCCTGGGGGTGGGGACAACTCTTTTGCCAGGCCTGCCACAAATTAGCCCCCGACCATCCCCACGTGCCACTCGGGGCCCCTTCTCCCGCCCGAACTGCTGCTCTGCTTTCTGCTCCCTACCCGCGAGTGGGGCTACTGCCGTGCGCGTGCCGCGATCTCCCCCCGGCCGGGGCAGGAGCGCGGAGGGGAGCCC